AGCGGAAGCGGTCGACTGTGGCATAATAAAAGCCCTGCTGCTTTCAGCCTCACCCTGCTTCATTCTACTACGTTAATAAATCATTAGCTCATCCATGAACATGATTTCTGCCTGAGTCCCATCGGATTGCATCGGCTGTGGGGATGAAGACCACAACTCCCATGATCCCACACTCAGTCACGGCGTCATCAGACTACGCCTTTTGTCTCTTTGTTTATTTTGAATACGTGCCCTCTAGCGGCGAAAATTACATATTGTGCCTTTAAACGAGGTATGAAGAACGGGCCCCAGAAGCAGTAACGCTAGCTTGAACCACGGTGTTGTGGCAGAAATAGTCGAATGTTATTACATTGTTCATTTCAGGGTTTGTACAACCTTTTGAGAGAGAAATTCAAGCAATTTTTAATGACCTACAAGCATTTCACACAACTGTTTCCAGCACTTTAAAGCTCCAAAATTATACAATTTGAATGTTATTTTCAAAGGGATGACCAAAATATACTGTGGTGAACAAACACTTATGTAAAATTAAAAAATATATAAAATCACCATTATAACCTGTAGATGCCAGCAGAGGAGCACTTATTGGCTTATTAGTCATTAATTTATACTTTTTCCTTTATATTTTGAAATGATAAAATCACTATTATAAAATATCAAACAAGAAGTTTTGCTCTTTTTGTGTATAAGAAAAGTCACAAAGTGCTTTGAAAAACAAACTTTTCTTCAATTTGCGACTAAATCACACATAATCACTGAAGTTGTTGGTCAGTTCCATATAAGACTATAGAAGAATAATGGTACATTTACTAGGAGTACAATAGAAACTTTTTTCTACATAAAAATTTGATTTTGCCCATGTTACTGTTGTTAATGAAATAAATATTGTAAGCTTCCCAACTCAAGCCTAGTGCTTTACTGTCAAATGTGTATAAACATGAAATGAACATGTAATATTATTAGTAAATGCACTTATTAATGCAAAACAATAATAATATTATCATATATATTTATTTGTCATATCCCTCTGAAATTAATTTCTAGGAGTTGTCTATTTATTATCAAAGTAATACAGTTAAAATGGGGAAAATATGTGAACGATTGCATTGCAGGCCGATTTAAGGTGTGCCCCTAAATTTGCTGATTGTGCTCCTAAAAGTTTTTCAAATAGATTTACTGTTTAATGCACTTTGTCATATTTCTAGTTATTTACCTAGCGGCTAATGAACATTCACTGAAAATAGCGGAGCCATAGCACAACTCGCATATTAACTAAAACAATGTTCCCCCCACAAGTAACTTGTAATTGTTCGCTTCAGCCACTAGAAGGACAAAAGTTACATAGCATAGCTTTAATATTACTTGGTATAAAGTTGTTGTCCATCTGTTTTCAGGGGCTTTTTCCCAGTAGCGGTTGGCTTCATTAGGCGGGTGCCTATTCTTGGATCTTTACTAAACCTTCCTGGTATCAGTGGGGTAAGTCAACCACAGTTTGCTGACTCTTTTGTCACTAGTTTGGTATCTTGTGCTTGCGTAAGTGACTGTCACACGACTACAATAATGTTCTTCTGTTTCTCTTTTAGTTAGTGGATAAAGTGGGCGAGAGCAACACGATGGTATAACGGTTTAGTATTTTCTTTTAGTTTTCTACGAGTGGCTCATATTTATATTTGTCATAATCGTGCGTCTCGCTGGCCAACATTTCTGAACGACAGATGAGATTTTTGATACTTTACCTGTGAAGAAGTTCATGTGTTTTTTTCTGGAACTGATTACCAAACCAAGTCAGGCTCTGTTTTTGTTGCTGCATCACACGTCTCCCTCCAGGGGGCGACGGGGACCACTGAACCCCCAAATGACCCATTGAACGAACCATAACTGAAAGGAATCACTGGGTTCTGAATGAAGTCGTTACTGTTTTTTTATTGCACTTTTATGTGCCAATTGTTCTGTTTTGCTTTTTTTATTTGTCAAAATCGAATTCTGACTTTTTCCACATGAGCGCCACCTAGTGGAGCGGAGACTTTCATCTCTTCACGCTCACGAGGGAAATTAAGCGACCTACGTGACATGCTGTTATTAGACATGACTGACTTGTTTAAGTATTTGTAAATACTTCAAATGTGAGACTAATGTACATTTTTACCAACAAAGATCCTGTTTAATAAATGGATTATATCCTTGACAGGTCTATTTGTCTGGCGTTAAACTGTGATAGACATCACATTTAAAGCCTTATATCAGCGCTCGGTGCAAATATTACACAAAGATTGTATATATTGCTAGCATGTGGTTTACATTTTGCACTTTCATTCAACATTTAGTGAGTACATTGACTAGTTCCTGTAACTAACAGTCAGTTGGAAGTGTAACAGTGTCAATCAAACGTTTGGACACACCTTTATAAAGTTCTTTATGACTATTTTTTTCACATTTACTGATCAAAACATGACACAAATGAAAAAAAATAAAATAAGATTCTTTGTCTAGATTCCAGCTATGATCATTCTGGACTTTCATGAGGTGCATCATGGGATGCTAGAAAACACTTGAGCATGTAATAAAAATGCTTGATGCTTTTGCTTGCAATCCGCTCCAATATATTTCCTTTTTGAATAAAAAAAAATGTTAGTTTTGCAAGTTAATTTATATGTTGGCACAATTTCTATTTTTTGGATCGAAAGTTTTTTAAGATCACAAATCGTAGATTCTGTCAAGTGTGTCCAAACTTTTGATTGGTAGTGTATAGTGTTTGCTATATTTCACCATCAGACACCAAGATCTGTTTTCACACAAAGTGTTAATCTGACAATCATGTGTTTCTATAATTCCTGACTGTTATAAGGAAACGGTTCACCCAAAAATGAAAATTTGCTAAGTGTTTACTCACCCTCAGGCCATCCAAGATGTAGATGAGTTTGTTTCTTCATCAGAGTTGGAGAAATGTAGCATTCCATCAGTTGCTCAGCAATGGATGCCCTGCAGTGAATGGGTGCCGTCAGAATGAGAGTCTAAACAGCTGATAAAAACATCACAATAATCCACACCACTCCAGTACATCAATTAACATCTTGTGAAGTGAAAAGCTGCATGTTTGTAAGAAACAAATCCATCAAGACTTATAATCACTGGATTACTTGTGGATTATTGTGTTGTTTTTATCAGCTGATTGGACTCTTATTCTGACGGCACCCATTCACTGCAGAGGATCCATTGCTGAGCAAGTGATTTAATGCTACATTTCTCCAAATCTGATGAAGAAACAAACTCATCTACATCTTGGATGGCCTGAAGGTGAGTAAACATTCATCAAATTGCATTCTTGGGTGAACTACTCCTTTATATACGTAAATTCAAACCCCTAAATCATTTGAAAGATGATTTCAAGAACATAATACAACTAGGATGTTAAAAGAAAAATCTTAGGCATGGATGTCTTGTCATGGCAGCAATCAAACATTCGAAGCTGTGAATAATAGCCATTGGTTTGCGAGTCAGCGTTACAGGTCTTTCAGGTCTTTCTGGATGTGCCACAGCATGTCTGCGCTCTTCTTCAGCTGCGAGACCTCGTCGCTGGTCAGGCTCATGTTGACCACGCTGCCCACTCCAGCACTGTTCAACACGCACGGCAGGCTCAGGTACACCTCGTCACTGATGCCGTACATACCCTGAAACAAATGCAATACATTAGCATTTCCATTATCTGTTATAATAGCCAAATATGTGGGAGAGCATTGCTATTGAGTGAGTGAGTGATGTTACAATGGTTGAATCAAGACTAGTTAGCACGTAATTTATAGTTGAAACAGTTTAATAACAATATTTTGTTATGGTTACACTATAGATGAAGGATGGTAAAACAATCCAATGCAAATGGCCCTTTTGTTACTCAAGATAGGTTTGGGACAGGAAAGCAGAAGTCTGATTCTGAGTCCTGTACTGACCTTCACCATGGTGGATACGGGATGGACTCGGTTGAGGTTCTTCATGAGACTCTCTGTCAGGTCGGCCACACTCAGCCCGATGGCCCAGTTAGTGTAGCCCTTCAGTCGGATCACCTCATAGGCGCTGTGGTGAACACACGGTCGTGGAAGTACTTTATGCATACATTCACTTCTAGAAGTATAGCTCAAATTTTTTTCTACACAAAAATTTATTCTAAATACTGTATTTGTGAGATGATATCTAGACACCACACTGAATTAAGCAATATAGTCATGTGATGACAATGTAGCATAGTGTTTCAAATGTTTATTGTTCCATACCGCATACTCATTCACAAACTATTTTTAATAAATTGCAGGCAGCAAATCGCATAATATGCATTTTGGGTGTAACTGATCTTAATGAGGAGTGAGAACTAAAAGAGTAGCCTGATGACGTACCTGTCCACGACTTTCTTGTGCGTTTCTTTCCAGTTCTCTCGGTCCGTGTCTTTGCCAATATCTGGATTGAGTTTCTGCAGACTGACTCCTGCCACATTAGTGCCACTCCAAACGGGAACTGCAATGCAAACACACACAGAGACCATGAGTGGATGAACGAGTTTTTATATATATATACACATCTATTTTTATTTATTATCATTTACTTTACACTTATAGAAATCTAAAATAAAAATCATTTTAAAATATGAATTAATAAATAAATAATTTTTTATTATTTTAATAACCTATTTATTTGCCTAAATGTAATTGATGAATATGTAAGTATATTAATAATATGAATTTGAATAATTTAACGTTATTAATTATTTTCAAATATATATAATGATATTTACATAATTTAAGTATGCTTACACTCAAAAATATATTTGATACAATAATATATTTAATTCAATATTAAATATTACGTTTACACTATAGTTTATATAATCATTATTTATTTAAATAATTTATATTCATTTTAATAAATAATGAGTCTTTTAGAAATCCTCATATTTTATTTTATCATATGTAATATTAATTTTCTTTTTTTTATTATTTTAATAATACATTACAATTATTTTAATAATATTTTTTTATTTCATTTTAATACATTTTTTAATATGTATTAATAATTTATATTTATTAATTTTTCATTTACTTATACTTAAATGTACACAACTTTATTCTATATTAAATTGAAATAGTTTATTTTACATTAAATAATTTGCATTAACTTTAATAAATATGAATATTATTTTACAAATAATAACTATTATATTTTATTTTATTATGTATAATATTTTAATAATACATCATTAGAATTATTTTAATATTTTTTATAAAAAAATTATTCATAATTTATCTATATAATTAAATTCATACTTTAATTTTATTATTATTATTTTATTAAGTATTTCATTCAATAATTAGTTTTTTAATAAAGCATAATATTTTAATAATATTTGTAATGTATTATTTTAAATACATTTCATAATTAATTGTTAATTTACAAGTTATATTACATTATATATATTTGTCTGGCTTGTCTCACCGCTGGAGTCGCCATGTTCTCCCAGAATCCATCCGTTGAAGCTGCTGGGATGGATGCCCAACCTCTCGGCCATCAGATACCGAAAGCGAGCCGAGTCCAGGTTGGTCCCGCTGCCGATGACGCGGTGCTTGGGCAGGCCGCTCAGCTTCCAGGTCACGTATGTCAATACGTCCACTACACGGGCAGAAAAACTGTGTTACAGGCAAATAAAAGGTGAAGAGTATGGTACTGTGTGTTTATGGGTACCTGGGTTGGACACGACGATGAGGATGCAGTTGGGACTGTATCTGACGATCTGCGGGATGATGTGTTTGAAGATGTTGACGTTTCTCTGCACCAGATTCAGTCTGCTCTCGCCCTCCTGCTGACGCACGCCTGCCGTCACCACCACGATACGAGAGTTAGCCGTCACAGAGTAATCTACAGGACAACACCAGACGTTCATGAGGTTCAAACCACAGAGAAACCACTCAAAAACGAGCGGGGTGTGAATTACACAGTGACCTTCAGGCGGGGTATTGTGTAAATAGGGCTTTTAAAAAAATAATCTAATTTCATAATGTGCCGATTAATTAATCAAATTAATTAGATCAATTAATTAACATGAACATCATGTGCTGATTAATTAAATGTGAAGTTATTATTAAAGATATTTTAAAGTTATCATTGTTAATTTAGACAAACACTGAATAGATACTACAAAAAAAGTAGCTTAAGAAAGAAATATTTGAATTCAACATACAAAAATACAAATAAACACTGAAATATGAAATGTTTAAAAAATATATATATATATTCTAAGTATGAAACTAAAAGCGCCAGTAGGTGGCAGCAAATCGCTGTCTTTATAAGTGAGTCATTCATTCAATCAATTCGTGCAAACAGCTGATTTATTCAGAAACTCAGCAAGTTACTGCCTTTATGAATGGCTCACTGACTCACTCGATCCGTTTAAAAATGTGGATTTATTAATGAAACACCACTCTGGGTTGATCAGAGACGCACAATTTGTCTTAGGGCTTTATTTTTGTTGGCGAAATTACTGACAATGTGTCTAAAATGTAATTATTCGGACCTTTACCTTATATTCATTTTTATGTAAAAACCTATTTTTTTCTTTCTACCAGCCAGTGATGACTCTGAAAGAAAACACACAGTACTTACGCGCATCTGACTGATTAAACCGCACGAATGTGGTTATTTATGGTTATTTTAGCAAATAGTTTGCTCCGTAAATTCAACAGCATTAAGTTGAGGAGGGTAAACTTGATCAGTCGACTGAATCTGCACATGCATTTTATGTGTTCTTGCTCCATCCAAGCAATAAATGCATGTATATAAATGAGTACTGTAGCGTATGTAGGTAATGTGTAGCTATGACCCATTTCAGGGGCTTTACATTTACAAATCAGTCAGGGCTATAGAAATGCATATTAATATTTGTAAGTAAATCTCCATATTATGCATAGGGAGCTTTCTATCTGACCCTCCTACATCTAGTTTTGACGTCCATCAGGGGGGAATCAAGCTTTAATTCACACCCTGATAACGAGTGTTTGCGGAGGCGAGCGCTACCTTTGCCTGAGACAATCTTGGGTGTCTTTAGGAAGAGGCTTCCGTGCTGCAAGTCCATCATCTCGCCCTTGAGTTTGTCCTCTATAACGTCCACCAGCGCCAGCTCATCCGCCAGCTCCTGCAGCACCGGACCGGACACAACAACACAACATCAAACCAAAAACTCATCAGGGCTACATTACATCCCGAAGTACATACTCATACTACACACAAGTATGCACTTCATTTTAAGATAATATTTTAAAACAAAACAGCTTCACTGCTTTTTTTTTGACAAATAATTATAAATGTTAATATGCAAAGAATAATATCATAATAATAATAATATAACACTAATAATAATATTAATATAAAAAATAGAAACAATAGAAATACTACTACTAATAATACTACTAATAAAAATAAATACTAAAACAATATGAATAATAATACTACTAATAATATGAAAAATAAATAAAAAGTATGAAAACATAAATAATAAACATCAATATGAATACTACCTACTACTGTTAATAATAAATGAAACAATAGAAATAGAAATAATACTACTACTAATACAATAATATGAAACAATAGAAATACTATTATGAATAATAATAATAACAACATGAAACAGAAATAATCATAAATAATAATACCAAATGATAATAATATAAAAATTTTAAATAATTCTAATACCCACTAATAATAATAACAGTATGAAAACAATAATAGTTATTATAATAACACTACTACTAAAAACATGAATAATAATAATAAATGAGAAAATAGAAATAGAAATTCTACTACTACTTATATACAAATATAAACAAATCAATAGAAAATATTAATACTAATAATAAAAACAGTTTGAAATTCTAATAACAACAAAAAATAATAAATGAGAAATAGAAATACGAATAATAATAACAATATGAAAAAAAATATATGAACAAAATATAATAGAAATACTACTATAATAATAAAATAAATAAAATGATTACAACTGAAAACATGTTCTTTTTTATAAAAGAGGTATATCAAATTCATAATCTCTGTGAATTTTAAATAAAACATTTTTTTACATTTTTGCTTTGATTTTGGACAAATGTGACTGTCACATCAGTGGCCAATGTAGGTTTTTCTCAACCTCATTTATTTAGTTGTTTTTCACCCTGTTGTGCCGGCCGCGGTTCTTCACCTTTAGTCTAATTGGACAAAGGGATCAAAGTCAAGCGTGGACAAACACGGCCTAAATCTACTGGAAAATGACCCACTGACTTACTAACATCATCAGTATGAGCAAAATGTTCATGACCTCGTGTACAATCAATAAACCAACAAGGAACTTGTCCAGGAATATGTTTGTGCTGCGGTCTCAAAGTCCGGAGCATGTTGGCGAGTACAGCCTGTGACGATCAATAACCGCATGAAGAGCGAGTCTCACCCGCAGCAGAACACTGACGGCGCAGGCCATGCCGACCTGTCCCACACCCACCACCGTCACTTTGCTCCTCGGCGGCTCGAGCGGCCCGCTAGACAGAGGAGTGATGAGCTTCTGCAGAACCGACGCCATGCTCAACACTGCAGAGGAACACACACACACACACACACACACACTCACTCACACACAAACACACACACACACACACACATACACTCTCACACACACACACACACACACTCTCTCACACACACACACACACACACTCTCTCACACACACACACACACACACTCTCTCACACACACACACACACACACTCTCTCACACACACACACACACACACTCTCTCACACACACACACACACACACTCTCTCACACACACACACACACACACTCTCTCACACACACACACACACACACTCTCTCACACACACACACACACACACTCTCTCACACACACACACACACACACTCTCTCACACACACACACACACACACTCTCTCACACACACACACACACACACTCTCTCACACACGCACACACACACACACAGACACACAAACACCGTATGATTATGAACCTGGTGATGAGCAGAAAGTAGAAACTCAACCGAGATCACTTTAATATCTTTAATAGCAATTCAATTAATTTAAGAGTATTTGCAGTATCTCAGATGTTACCAGTAATCTCACGTATCTCATCTAAAGATCTTTACAGTATCTCAAACTGTGCTCAAATTTGCCAAGATACTAAAGTCTGAATCAAAAGTCAGAGATCTCAATATGAACTATCACATACATTCTATGAACTATATATTTCTCAGCAAATACTTAGGCTACAAGATCAGGGTAATCATAGTTAACTAAAACTACAAACAATATGTTACTTGAACATCTCTGTTACATTAAATGAAATGAAACTGGAATAATATATATATATATATATTTTTTTTTTTTTAACATTTCTCATTTGCATTGAGTTTCATGAACTTGATGACCTAAAAAACTAAAACTGAAATAAAAATGATATTGACAAACAGATTGAATTTAAAACAGGTTGAATGATGTATAATATAAAAATATAAACGTTCAAAATAATCTCAGCGATACTAAAATAACCCTGCAATACTCTTACTGTACAACATCCATTTTAAAAAAATCCCAGAATCCCAGAAATAATTATTTTTTTTTTCATTTTATTTCTCCTCAGGAAATAAAAAAAAAAACACCAGAGACCAAGCTGACAATTAATTAACCATTAAATTTAAATAAAATAAATATTAATCAGATAATGAAGCAATAATCTAATAATAAAATAATAAAGCACACACACAGACACTGTATGTGTGTGCTTTATTAATTACTTTATTAAAATGTATTTTAACACAGGCATATATTTAACATACACACACACATATATATAAGTGCTGTCAAATGATTAATCGCATCCAAAATAAGTTTTTGTTTACATAATATATGTGTGTGTACTGTGTATATTTATTATGTATATATAAAGACACACACATACAGTATATATTTTGAAAATATTTACATGTGTATACATTTATATTATTATATTATATATATTTAATATATTAACAACATTTTTCTTAAATATATACATGCATGTGTGTGTATTTATATATACATAATAAATATACACAGTATACACACATTATGTAAACAAAAACATTTATTTTGGATGCAATTAATCGCGATTAATCGTTTGACAGCACTAATATATCTATATATATATGCATTTTATTTGCATGCTACAATGTACTGTACATTCTAGTAAAAAAAAAAGGCGTTAAAAACATAGAGCTTCAAATTTGCATATGAGGCTGATTAAAAAATTTTAAGAATTTGAAAGGAAAATAAGAGGTTACTTAGTGGTGAAGCAAGCAAATCTCAACAGGACTTGTTGGTGAAGTACCTAACCACAATAATGGTTTACAACATCACCCAGCAACAATTCCCAAAACATCAACAAAGACACAGAAATGGAGATGGAGACATCTTACAAGCTCATCTCATAATTAAAAACACCACAACACATGTAGCAGCCTGTGGCGACCAGACTCGGTAGGACCTCACCTGCACACAGATGCTTCTCAGTCTCACACAATAAGCGTCAGAAGAAATCTGCTGTAATGCAGCGACCTGCTTCGGTTTATCTGCTGCTGCTGGTGTGTTCAGATCAAGGTCACTTACAGGACACTCCTCCAGAGACGTGGACAAACACATGCCCTGTCCTACATACACCCTCGACTCTTAATAAAACACCCGCACAACCCCGCGTCGGTCTTACCGTGTCTGAAGAGGCTTTGCGCTCCCAGGAAGAGCTGCCACCATGAGACGAGCATGGCAGGCTGTTACAGGCGGCTATCCGGGGCACTGCAGTGAATTACAGCGAGTACAGTGCCACCTCAGTGCCAGCCTCCCTGCAGACAGACCGCACGCTAATGAGGTTACTGTAATCCGCTGCCATCTGCTGATCCTGCGCGCTGAAACCCTCGAACGGGATTCAAACAAAACAGAGCAATTAGTATATGTGACCCTGGACCACAAAACATGCATGCATGCATGCATCACCTGAAAGCTGAATACATAAGCTTTCCATTGATGTATGGTTTGTTAGGATAGGACGATATTTGGCTGAGATACAACTATTTGAAAATCTGGAATCTGAGGGTGCACAAAAAAAAACAATCAAAAATTGAGAAAATCATCTTTAAAGTTGTCCAAATGAAGTTCTTAGCAATGCATATCACTAATCAAAAATTACGTTTTTATATGTTTACGGTAGGAAATGTACAAAATATCTTCATTGAGCATGATCTTTACTTAATATCCTAATGATTTTTGACAAAAACAAAATCTGTAACTTTGCCCCATACAAGTTTTTTTTTTTTTTTTATTAATGAGCCTAACTGGATGGTGAACTTTTGATAAAGTGATGGGTTTGTTGAAACCACAAGCAGTTCTGTCTTAGCCAGGTTGAGTTGAAGGTGATGGTCTGTCATCCAACAAGAAATGTCTGTTAGACAAGCTGAGATGCGAGCAGCTATCGTCGGATCATCAGGATGGAATGAGAGGTAGAGTTGAGTGTCATCAGCATAGCAGTGATACGAGAAGCCATGTTTCTGAATGACAGAACCTAGTGATGCCATGTAGACAGAGAAGAGAAGTGGTCCAAGTACTGAGCCCTGAGGCACCCCAGGGCTCAGTTACATGTTACATGAACTATTATAATAACAATTAATTATGCATAATTGCATGCAAGCAACCCTATCCTAACCTTAACCATATCGTTAGTAGCCTACATGTTATTAATTAATATTACTCAGTACTTAAATGTATAATTACACTGTAACAAGGACACCTTCAAATAAATTGTAACCCAAACAAATTATATTTTATATTTTTAGAACAATGTAATCAATATTAACTCAACTATAAGACATGTATTAATCTCATTAAGTTAGTGTTTTTAAGCATTTTACATTTATTCCAAAATAATAACTCAAGGCATTAACAATTTAAACAATATTTTTTTTACTATTTTTGAATTTTTCGGGTTATCAGCGTGGATGGCAAATCTTTTGATTAGATTTTTTTTATTAAACTGTACAAAGCATCAAACCAATAAAGCAGTACAGTTATAAAAACAAAACAAAGATAAAGAAAGAATACAAATCCCTTAAGAAAATTAACCATGTTTTTATTTTATAAAAGTGTTTTTTTTTTGTAGAACCACAGTTTTACTACTAATACCATGGTTAAACTATGGTTAGTGTAGCTAAACCATGGTTAATTTGTGGTTACCGTGGTTTAACTATTAACAATGTTCTTTATTTTAAGAAGTCACATAGGATGAATATAGAGATGCAGTTTTCACTGCTTCATGATTAACAGAACTTTGGATAGTTTCCATGTACTTGTCTAGATCAACTTTAAATGAAAAAAAGAGGTTTAGAGACAGATTTCTGCTTATGAATGTAAAATGTAGCTAGCAGGAAACAAAGTAAGTTATATTTCCTATATTCTCTTTCGAGTAGTCAAACAATCCAAAGAAAACAACTTATATATTAAGTGTTTTACATACATTACCATTATCGGTATGAATTGGGCAATGTGGACATTTTGTTGAAAAATGTGTGTGTGTGTATATATATATATACTAATTAACATTTGAAGTCAATCAAAACCTTTCATCAAAGTTCTCAAAACGTATTCTTGTCTTAGGACAACTCATATATATATATATATATATACACATACACACACATATGTATATATGTACAGTAGTGGCCAAATTTATTAGAACACTAGTATTTTCACCAAAAAGGTTTTAAGCTTCTTTTAAGTTTCTTGAAGCATCTTGGAGACGTTGGCACAGTTCTTCTGGATTGAGTCGGTCTCAGTTTGTTCTGTTTCTTCATGTCCTTCCAGACAGACTGATGATGATCAGATCAGATCTCTGTGTGGAGCACTGGCTGCTGTCAGATAAGAAAGATGCTGGATGTGGAGGTCCTGGGCTGGTGTGGTTACACATGGTCTGCGGTTGTGAAGCCGGTTGAATGTACTGACAAATTCTCTGAAACGCCTTTGGAGACGGCTTATGGTAGAGAAATTAACATTCAATTCACAGGCTCTCCATGCCAATTGCATGCTCCCTCAAAACTTGCGACATCTGTGGCATTGTGCTGTGTGATAAAACTGCACATTTTAGAGTGGCCTTTTATTGTGGCCAGCCTAAGGCACACCTGTGCAGTAATCATGCTGTCTAATCGGCATCTTGATATGCCACACCTGTGAGGTGGATGGATTATCTCGGCAAAGGAGAAGTGCTCACTAACACAGATTTAGACATTTGTGAACAATATTTGAGAGAAATAGGCCTTTTGTGTACATAGAAAAAGTCTTAGATCTTTGAGTTCAGCTCATGAAAAATGGGGGCAAAAACAAGTGCTGCATTTATAATTTTGTTCAGTGCATGTATATATATATATAAATAACTCTACAAAACAGTGCTGCATTGTACATAATATATTATATCATATATAATTCAATATCATATCACATAATACATTGAATATCAGTGACTTATGACTAGCAATATTTCCCTGTTCATTAAAAATCTTCCAAGAGTGTCAATAACTAAGTATTTATCATTTCTGACTCAAAGCTGTAGAATGTTTATTTTAACAGCATTAAACTGTTTATTATAAATACATTTATATATGTATTAAAAAAAAACACTACTGACCACAATATTTAAAGTAAAAGATATTTCCTGTAAATGTGAGACGTGACATCTCTGCATAATTTTATACAGCTAAAATAACTAGCGCTCACTATTACTACAAAAAAAAAAGGCTAAAAATTGCCTAATTTTTCTGTAATGCCATTTAATTTACACTACTGTAGAGATTTCAAATGTTAACAAAAAGCAGTAAATATGCAACCACCAAAAATATGGATTCTGAATACAAGTTCAGATGAACCTTTGAATACTTGACAGTGTTTGTCTGTTTGTGTTTAACGCCATTCCAGCTTCTGTGATTATTTTCATGGCGAGAAATATTACGGCTGAATTAGATCACATTTGTATTTGGCTTATGTTAAAAATCTCTTCAAAAGAGTTACCCAAATAAAAAATTCTCAATGAGTTGAAACCAGCACAATCTAATAAAACATGCTTAATGGATATAGGGATTCGGCAGAAAGAACATGTTGGAGGATCTTGAAAACATGACAGAGAGAGAAAGACCAGTTGTTGTGTATAATATCCAGGTAGCTCTTTATTGTACTACTGACAAAACAAATGTCAGAGGTTAAAACCAGACGGCATTCATTCGTGTCACAAACCTTTTTATATAGACTATTTAGACATGGAACTCCTCTGTGATTGGAGGGCGTCTCCCCTTCACCGTCATGATGTCAGAGGTGGGCAGGGCTCAGGACAGACTTAAATATAGAGAACAGGAGGTGTGCGGCTGTGTCGAGGGGGAAGCGGGCGATCGCTCGATCTCACTGGCTGTTTACTCGGTGAGGCCGAGCTTCTTTTTGAGGGACTCGGGCATCTCAGGGGGAGGAGGGCGGGGCAGGCGGAAGTAGACCTTCACAGAGTCGTAGATGAACCACTGCAGGGCCGTCAGGGTACCGATCATGATGATACGGGCGACGAGTCCCTTCCACACACCTGAAAAACACGACACACGCAGTCCATTTATAAAAAACTGATTGCAAGAGTTGATCTGCATATTCATTCAGGGCAATTTGAACGGTCAAAAACTCTTATGATAGTTTGTCTGCTCTCCAGCTGTTCTGCCCCGGCGTTTTCCTGTGAAGGATCAGGGCAGAGAGGATTCTGGGTGAGCAGGTAGACTGATCTCACACGCCAATGACTCAAGCACCTCCAACTGTACAGCCGTAAAGCTGCTGGGAGCCTCCGGCCCGATCCTGCTGCTCCCAGAGAGAGAACACAACAGAACCGGAGATGGAGAAACTCCCCAGAGGTGGATCTAAGGAGCGTGTTGTGAAAGAAAGACTAAAGCACAATGAAAAGTCTCACCCTTCGGTCCAAGCTTCTTGAGCACTTGCGTGGCTGTGCTTCCCTTCTCTTTGTTCAACACGGACACGACGGAGTCAGCCGGGTGAGACACGATGGCGCAGAACACACCAGCTACAAGACACAAGGAAACATGCATCACAACTCTGATTTAAAGAACCCAGATCAGTGCTGACAAACGTTACATTTACACAAATTAATTCTAAGAAAATACATTTAAAAAAAAAATAATAAATGATTGATAAATAAAATAAAAACGTTTTAAATTAAATAAATTGTAATTATTATTATATTAATGATATAGAATCAATAATATACATTTAAAAATAATATAAAATGTATTATAGAATCAAAAATAATGTAAAACATGTAATATAAATCAATAACATCTGTACAATTATATTAGTCTTAGTCAAATCAATATAATTCTTAATAATAATAATAATAATAATAGTAAATCAAATAAAATATCAAATCATTAAAACTTTAATTTTACATTAAAATAAAACCTTAAAGTGGTGATAATTATTAATAATAATATATTATAATAGTAATTATCATAATATTCATTTTTTTAATGTAAATATTTTTTTTATTTTTAAATTTTTTATAAATC